AGAGAGAGAGAGAGAGAGAGAGAGAGAGAGAGAGAGAGAGAGAGAGAGAGAGAACCTAACCTAACTAGCGATGCGCTCCCCCCCCCCCACCACGATCAAGTGTAGTATCTACTTCGATCAGTTTCATATCGGTCCTTCCCCCCACACGATCAAGCGTAGTATCTGCTCCGTTCAGTTTCATATCTCATTCGTGGTCCATCGAAACCTTTTTATTTAAAATAAAAACAAAAGCACGCGGAACGAGAGAGAGCGTGAGAGAGAGAGAGTTGGAGGGAGAGAGAGAGAGAACCCACTCTAACTAACTATGCGCATCCCTCCTCCCCCCCAAACGATTAAGTGTAGTATCTGCTTTGATCAATTTCATAGCCGATCTTCTCCCATCATCAAGTGTAGTATCTGCTCAATTCAGTTTCATATCTTATCCGTGGTCCATTGAGACATTTTTATTTTATAAAAGAAAAAAGAAAGCACGTGTGTGCACGAGCGAACGAGAGAGAGAGAGAGAGAGAGAGAGAGAGAGAGAGAGAGAGAGAGAGAGCTCGTTGTAACCAACTGCGCGTCCGCCCCCCTTCCCCTCTCCCCCCAACACGAGCAAGTGCAGTATCTGCTGCGATCAGATGCGTGGTTCATCAAGACGGTTAAAAAGGGGAAAAATAAACAAGCGCGCCGAAGATGCGGTAGAGAGACTAGAGCGAGAGCGAGAGAGAGGGAGACTGGAGTCTAACTAACTATGCGCCAGCCGGCCCCCCTCCCAAGAATGAAGTGTACTACCTGATCCGTGGTCCAAAAAAAAAGTGTGCGCGCAAGACGCGAGTGCCAGAGAGAGAGAGGATGAGAGAGAGAGGGACAGACCGCAATCTAACCAACTACGCGCCCCCTCCTCCCACCGGAAGATTAAGTGTAATATCTGCTCCGTTCAGTTTCATATCTGATCCGTGGTCCATCGAGACCTTTTTATGTTAGGGGGGAAAAAAAGAAGTATGCGCGTGCACGAGAGAGAGAGAGAGAGAGAGAGAACCCAATATAACTAACTGTGCGCCTTCCCCCCCCCTACACACACACGATCCAATGTAGTATCTGCTCTGTTCAGTTTCGTATCTGATCCGTGGTCCATCGACACCTTTTTATTTTCACAAAAAAGAAAAATCACCGAACGAGAGAGAGAGAGAGAGAGAGAGAGAGAGAGAGAGAGAGAGAGAGAGAGAGAGAGAGAGAGAGAGAGAGAAAGAACCCAATATAACTAACTGTGTGCCTCCCCCCCCTCCCTACACAGAGACATGATCCAGTGTAGTATCTGCTTCGATAAGTTTAATATCCTATCTTCTCACATGATCAAGCATAGTATCTGCTCTGTTCAGTTTCATATCTGATCCGTTGTCCATCAAGACCTTTTTATTTTCACAATAAAAAAAAGCAAAGAGAGAGAGAGAGAGAGAGAGAGAGAGAGAGAGATCTAAGTAACTGTGTGCCTCCCCCCCCCTACACACACACGTGTAGTATCTGCTTTGATCAGTTTCATATCCCATTTTCTCACATGATCAAGCGTAGTATTTGCTCTGTTCAGTTTCATATCTGATTCGTGGTCTATCGAGACCCTTTTATTTAAAAAAAAAAGAAGCACCGAACGAGAGAGAGAGAGAGAGAGAGAGAGAGAGAGAGAGAGAGAGAGAGAGAGAGAGAGAGAGAGAACCCAATCTAACTAACTGTGCGCCCCCCCACCCCCCCACCCCCCCACCCCCGCTCCCCACACACGATCAAGTGTAGTATCTGCTTCGATCAGCTTCATATCCGATCTTCTCACATGATCAAGCATAGTATCTTCTCCGTGCAGTTTCATATCTGATCCGTGGTCAATCGAGAACTTTTTATTTTCACAAAAAAAAGAGCACTGAACGAGAGAGAGAGAGAGAGAGAGAGAGAGAGAGAGAGAGAGAGAGAACCCAATCTAACTAACTGTGCGCCCCCCGGCACCCCTCACATGATCAAGTTTAGTATCTGCTTCGATCAGTTTCAATCTGATCTTCTCACATGATCAAGCATAGTATCTTCTCCGTGCAGTTTCATATCTGATCCGTGGTTAATCGAGAACTTTTTATTTTCACAAAAAAAAATGCACTGAACGAGAGAGAGAGAGAGAGAGAGAGAGAGAGAGAGAGAGAGAGAGAGAGAGAGAGAGAGCTTCTTGGCAAACATTCCTTTTTTATTGTGGGTGTAGCGGCAATAGGTCCCCTAGTATTTTTAATTATTTTAAACCGGTCAGCCACATGCTGCGGTAGGTCCCAGTGAGAACACTAGTGCAGGCAACGTCTGCCTAGCCGATGAGTGGATCAGAAGGTGGTGAAGGTACAGCTGATGATAGAAGCCAGACACGGCGGGATACACGTAGGATACCCGTAGTGTTCCAGGTCCTACTACCAGGGGATGAAAGAAGACTCGGGGCCGAAGCAAGGGCCCATTTACTTGAGGCTGCTAGGGAAGCAGCAGCAGCTGCAGAAAGGACGTTAGCAGCAGCTAGCGCGGTAGCAATGGCTACCTCTGCAGCAACATCTGCAGCAACCTCGTCTGGTCAGTTGCTCGGTATGCCGCTCAACTCGACCAACTCGCAGTCCGTCTCCAGTACGTCAGGAGCTGGTACTAGTTAGATGGCAGGCTCACAGTTCAGCTCGCCGCCTCCATGCACCAGGGAACAGATAGAACTCCAGCAAGTGGAGTTGATCCGCTTGAGTTTAGAGAAGGAACTTAAGGAGGCTACTGAAATAGAAAATGAGATTAGGAATAGAAGTGTCAGATTTGAGGGTTGGGCGACAGACAAAGCTGCACTAGAGGGGTTAGATGACTCAGCACTTGACAATAATCTAAAGATTTAGATTATCAAGGTGAGCATACTGTCCATGCACGCTTAAGTGGACAGTAAACTGGATGCTATCCAGGATACCCTTCACCAGATATTGGATGCCATGCACAGGCCTCGTTTCAGGCCAGCAGTTTTGCCATCGCTGTCGTTGTGGGCGATGACAGGTTTGTATCCTCCTCAATTCTGCACACTTCCAGGCGGTACTTCATCAGCAGCAGCACAAACTGCTGCTTCCACTTCTTCTGGTCCAGCGGCTGGAGCTACACCACAACTGCCATTTGTCCCACCTGCGAGACAGCAGCAACCTTGGTACCCTAAGACCCTTTTGAGACCACCCTCAACCTTCTCAAGTGGTAAGAAGGATGAGGTTCTTGACACTTGGTCGAGAACGGTTCCAGTGTGGGTATGGGTGAAGAGGACTTTAGTAGAGGAAGAGGTGATAACTGTTGCTTTATACCTTGAGGGATCGGGAATAAGATGGCTAGATGGTTGGTAGCTTCAAAAGGGTTCGGCAGGCGAATGACTGATTTGGCAATGACTCGTACGCGAGAAAGTTTCATGGACTTGGTGGAAGTGCGTTGGCACAGCCCGCAGCAGGCACAGATTGCCATTGATGCGTTGACCCGGCTTGATACTAAAAAGTACAAGACTGTGTGTGAACTTACCTCGGCTGTTGAGCACCTGATTGTCTTCCCGGGGTACACCACGATCCGCAGGTCTTAATGACCATGATCTTGAGATGTCTTCTCACAGTCGTCAAGAATCTATTAGCCAACGAGGCTCGCCTCGAGTATCACACGTTTGAGACCTTTAGCAAGAAGGCTCCAGATTTGGAGGCCACGCTAGGAGGTGCTCAACAACCCTCTATGAACGAAAGAAAGTAGAAGAGTCCACAAGAGTGGAAGAAGAAGGGGATCTGATTGATGATGGGTGAGGCCAATGGTACTCAAACTGAGATCAATGACTATTCTGACTTAGTGGAGGGTTTAGAGTTTGACGGCGAGGAGATAGTTGAGGGTAGCTGCTCGACCGCCTTGGTTAAAGTTAAGGCAGGTGGCCGCGGCAAGGGCCATCAACAGAGGAGTCAGGGGCAAACACATAACCCGAACAAGATTGGAGCATCGGTGAGAGCGGGTTTGGATCAAGATGTGTGGCAGGACCGTTATACGCGGGGTGCTTGCATTAGGTGCGAGGAGTATGGCCATCAGCAGTTCGAATGCAAGAACGCAAAGGTTTCACAGAAGATACCTCCCAAAGGTGGGGTTCCTTCTTCTTCCCAGGGTGGGGCCTCTACGAGCTCCAACTCGGGAAACACATACGGCCAGTAAAAGTTGTAGCTGGTTCTACTCGTGTTGAAGCAGGTGATGTACCCTTACTGTTTCAAGAGTCGATCGAAGCTATTGGTTCCTTAGTCACCCCGCAGACGCATCCTGACCCAACAGTATTCTATTCGCTGGATGTGTCTGAGGCCTTAGAGGACCTACAAAGTGGGTGGTCGGCAAGAGACCCTCGTGAGTCCTGGGTAGCATTAAGCCGAGGTACTAAAGGGGAACACTTCTTTGTGGAAGTTGGTGTAGGTGGCCGCAAGTGTGGCGCCTTTGTAGACATCGGCTCCACGCGAAAGTCATGACTGCGTTGACAGGCTGCGCCTACAGGACCGGGTGCAACGCCTTAGTAGACCGGTAACATCTACTTTGCCCAACAAAGACCGCATGATGGTACCTTGAGGTTGCCAAGCCCCAGTTTGACTGGGACAAGAAAGTGCTAAAGCATGAGTTGCCTAATGGGAGGACCGTTAGATTGGGTAAGTATAAAGCTAGTAGGTTAATTGATTCCTACGGGTGCTTGTGCGCACCAGCGTTCTACAACTATTACAATTCTACAACTATTACAAACAGAACCAAGAGGAGGGTATGTACCTGGTTTTTGTCTTTGAGAAAAGGGAGGCCGTTAAATTACCCCCAAAGATAGAAAATGTCGCTGCTAAGTACCCTGATCTGTTTGAGGAGCCTACTATGGTCGTAGACGAGGAGGTTGCCCATGCCATAAAGATCATAGCAAGATACCTAAAGGGAGAATCTATAGGATGGCTCCGGCCGAGTTGGACGAGCTTCAATGACAACTGAAAGAGCTCATAGAGAAGGGTTGGATACGGCCTAGCATCTTCCCCTTCGGCTCACCCGTTCTATTCGTCCCGAAGGAGGGATCACTAAGGATGTGCATAGGGGCCTCAATGCCATCGCTGTTAAGAACGCAAAGCCTCTACTTCAAAACGACGACCTATTGGATAGAGTGCAGGAATGTAAGTACTTTACTAGGATAAACTTGAAATCCGGCTGCCATTAGATTGATAAACTTGAAATCCGGCTACCATTAGATTGCCATTAGACCGGAAGACCAACACAACACTGCATTTCAAACCAGGTACGGTCTGTATGAGTTTGTGGTGATGCCCTTCGGCCTTTTCAATGCACTGGGTACACTCCAGCAAGCCATGAATAGGATCTTCCATGACTACTTAGATAAGTTTATGGTTGTGTACCTCAACGATATTTTTATCCTTAGTAAGACTGTCGAGGAACATACTTGGCATGTAGACAAAGTACTTTCTCTCCTCCGGCAGCACAAGTATAAAATAAACTTAGAGAAATACGAGATCTTGTATTTGGGTCATGAAGTCTTCGCGGAAGGGATTAGGCTTGAAGATGCGAAGGTGGCTAGCATTCGAGACTGTCCACGACCTCAGTCTGCGACTAAGGTCAGATCATTCTTGGGGATGTGTGGTTATCATCGCTATTTTGTAAAGAACTATAGTACCATTGCCTCCCCCTTGGCTGATCTAAAGCGCCTTGATACTCCATGGGAATGGACAGACACATGTGAGGCTGCTTTCAAGGGATTGAAGTATGCCCCCACACATCATGAGGTTCTCATGGTCCCCGATCCTGAAAGGCCATTTTGTGACCACTGCTACAAGCCAATATGGCAGTGGCGAAGTGTTGGTTCAAAAGGAAGGGAAGAAGTTGAGGCCAGTCGAGTACATGAGCAAGAAGATGCCATCAAAGAAGTTGGCGAAGTCCACCTACGAAAGGGAACTCTACGCCCTCTCTACGGCACCTGTCCATTGGAGACACTATTTGTTAGGAAGGTTCTTCTATCTGAGAACTGACCATCAGACACTCAAGTGGATCAAGACACATCCTGTTCTCTCTGATGCACTCAAACGCTGGATTGAAGTCGTAGACCAGTATGATTTCAAGCTAGACTATGTGAAAGGAGAGTATAACAAGGTTGCGGATGCGCGGTCACGTAGGGCACACTACCTAGGTGCGCTGATTACTGAGTTTCGCTTATCTGACAATGTGACTTGATCCTTGGTGGAAGACTACAAGGAAGACGTTGTCACGATGGACATCATGCACAAACTATAGGCCCAAGACAAGGCCACATCTGATGAGTTTGTGATGGTGGATGGATTGCTCTTTCTTGAGAATGCAGAATTTAAGAGATTAGTTGTTCCATCTAGAGAGATTTTGCGAAGTTTATTTCTAGGAGAGTGCCATGATGCAATGGGACATTTTGGCTACAAAAACACTTCTGCTAACTTAGTATAACGGTTTTGGTGGCCTAACATGCTTGACGATGCAAAGAAGTATGTAAAGACTTGCCAAGTCTGTCAGCGGGACAAGCCGCGAACTCAAGCTCCGCTTGCGTTACTCAAGCCCTTGCCCATTCCCGCTGGTCCGGGACAGAGTGTTGCCATGGACTTCATGGACACCCTCGTGACCAGCAGGGGTGGTGAGCGGCACATCTTCGTCATAGTTGATAGGTTCACAAAGTATGCTAGACTAATCGTCATGCCAGAGACCGCAAGGACTGGGCACGTCGTCAAGTTGTTTATGGATAACTGGGTGCGTGATTTTGGGCTACCTAAAATGATTGTTAGTGACAAAGATGTCAGGTTCACCAGCGAGATGTGGAAAATGGCTGCTGAACAGATGGGCAGTCAACTAACTCCATATGACTTTAGGGAATCATCCCGTCACGAACGGGAAGGCTGAACAGATGAACCGTGTGGTGCAGCATCTGCTGAGGCACTACATTAAGCCCACCTAGGATGATTGGGATGAGAAGTTACCTCTCGTCGCCAGTCTGTATAACAATGTTGTGCATAGCACCAACGACGCAAAATCGATCCGTTGCAACTCCTGGAACCATGCAGCAGGCTGTCAAACGCATCAAGAAGTTTCAAGAAGCAATGATTTCTTCTGAGAACAAGCATTGACGACAGTCCACATTTCAGGTAGGGGAACGTGTTTGGGTAAAAGCCAGTGAGCACGGTTCTGACTGCTAGGGGTTCCCCGTATGCCTACAATTAGTAGTAGTGGTAGGTAGGTAGTGTGAGGTGAAATTGAGAGAAGAATATAGTTAAAAAAAAAAAGAATTTGGCATCTCTAGGAAACTAATGCCTCAGTATTTCGGTCTTTGGGAAGTCTTAGATATTGTGGGTAGTGATTTGGAAGATCCATCGTAAGTGATCAGAATCCCTGGTCACTTGCGCACCTTGTGTTTCACGGCTCACAGCTTGCACCTTTCGCTGAGACACAACAATTCCCATCAAGGAGATCAATGCTTTCCCCAACCAGGGACGGTCATGTGGACGGCGACGACATTCTGGAACACCGAGACATGCCTGTTCCCAAACCAGCTGGTCGGCGAAGACCGCCTAAACCTATGAGAGAGTACCGGGTTCGGTTCTGGCATCATATGGATCCTAAGGAAGATCGTTGGTTCACAAGAGAGGAGCTTCTGAAGACAGCTCCTCAGATCATAGCTGAGTACGAACAAAGACTGAAGGGGAATGCACCTGCATGAAGCTAAGGGGGATGGGATGCGAGGAATGAGCCCCTGCGGGGCCCTTATCAGACATGCATATGTTCTGGACAGAGGCCCTCAACAAGTCCTTTGCCCGCCCTAAGTGAAGGCAGGCCGGAATATTCACAAGAGGCCAAAATTCGACATTTTTCCAAATGTGGGTACTGAGGCCGTTGCAGCACGCCAGTTGGTTACATGGACTTGTGAGCCTCCCCTCTCTTTCCAGAAAACATGTGCTGCGCCGTACAGCTGGGCCCAGGTCTGGGTAGTTGCGCCCGGGCACACATCACGAAGTGGCCACGGGCCTACGAGAAAGCAGCATTGTCCACGTACCTACCCCGGGGGCCTGTGCAAATGCAGCAAGTGGCTGAAGTCTGGAAATGTTGGGTGTGCCCAAATGTAAAGGGCCCAGGCCCTCAACTGCAGAGTTGGGCCTGGGCGCAGGCACCGGGCCCAGACCGGAAGCTACTGGAAGCTTCTCAGCCAGGCCCACATGCAGCCAAACAGAGGCTACTTCCATATAGGAGGAAAGGCAGCCAGGGTCTGGCACTCTGGCCCACGCAGGCAATGCGGTCACGCTGCTGCATTGCTGTGCGAGAGGCTGCATGCTGCGTTAGCGGCCAGGGTGCATGCGGGTGCTTGGGAGGTGAGCGGGGCGCTGGTGGGCAGCGGGGTGCTGCTGGGCAGCGGTGCGCAAGCGGCCATAGTCGGGCTGCAGGGCGCAAGGGGGTCAGGGGCGATCATTGGTC